GCTGGAGGAGCCACCAGAGGCGGCAGGTGGCGCCCAGTGCACCGGAAGGCAAGTCTGCCTGGCAGCTGATGATGTGACCCAGCTCCGTAAGGGGATTGGCTTCTTAACTGAGTGAGCACATCCAGGCTGCCTGGTCCCCTCCTGGTAAACTGCTAGCCCCAAGTGGGATAGCAGGATTAGGGGCAGAGTTGGAAGCAGAATTAGGAGTGTTGGGATACAGAAGGTAGTTGAGTACCAGGGAAGTTGAGAGGGGTCTATTTTTTGGGGGTGAAGAAATTAGAAAGGATGGGGTGTGGGGGATTGAAAATTTAGGTAGAAACAGGAGACAGGGAAGGGCCCGGGTTAGGGTCTAACGGACCATTTTGACATCCTCAACAGCCAAGAGTCTCAAAAGAGAGGAAACCACAGCTCGCTCTCTAACTTTACTCCCAAGCAAGAGAGCACCCTCCCGTCTCCCGTTCCAGCTCTCTGCCCACCTCCCCGTTCCGCGGGCACTTCTCCCAGTAGGTGGACAGACCTGGATGTGGGGTCTCTGGAGGACTGGAGCAAAGCTGGTGGAGGAGTCTGAGGAGCCGAGGGCAAGACTGAAAGGACCCTCCACCCAAAGCTGAAATTGCACATCTCCCCCCATTTCCTCCGGACATATGGGCACCCCCTTCTTCCTCAAGTACGGAAACCTCTGGTGAGACCCCGATAAGGGAGTTGAGTCATCCCTATCCCTACTCTCAGGCTGGTCCTGAGTGGACATCCACAAGTTACAAGAAGGTGGGAAGGAAAGGGAACGGAGGAGTGAATTGGGGGTGATGAGGGCATAGAACCAGGCCCCTGGAAGTATAGGGAGAAGCTACCTAGTTCCTGCTCTGGCCTGAGAACTTTCTTACCCTTTCCATGTTTTATGGAGGAACAGCAACAACAACACCCCCCCCTCCCCAAGTCCCCCTCCCAGGGAACTCCTCCTCCCTCAAGACATTCCTGAGATACATTCCAGAGGAGTTGGGCAATTGGAGGGGGGGGGGGGGGGGGGGGCGGGGGCGGGGGGGCGGAGAGGTATTTTCTCACAGTTCTAGAGGCTAGAAGTAGGGGGGGGGGGGGGGGGGGGCGGAGAGGGATGGAGGACAGGAGGTCAAACCCCAGCAAGGAATGGAATGTAAGTATACCGGGGATAAGGAATTTGGGGCACATAGAGAATACAGTCAGAGCAGATACCCACAAACGGAGGTGCAGAAAGATAGGGAGGGAGTTAGAGAGAGGGACAAAGGGGGAGAGAGAGCTAAAGGCAGAGTCAGAATGGAAGAGGGCTGGGGGAGTAATACTCAGTCTGTTACCAAATTTGGCTTCTGAGTCCGCAACCGCGAGGAGGGGGAGTGGTGAGGGTTGTGGGTGAGACTGACATATCCGGCCTCAAGTTGCTGGAGGCTCATTTAGGGCTGGACCGGGCAGCTAAAGGTCTGGACCTGACCTCTCCCAACACAGCCTCTCCTCACCTATACCCTTACCCATGCATATTCATTCTCCCCAAACGTACCCCAAGAGAGCCTACGCACAGGGCTCTTTCCCACAAAGCTACTTACACTGTCTCTAGATACACATTATCTCAAACACACAGCCCCTACACAGATCCCATCGCAACCACATTATCTTCCCGTAAAGACCTCATCCCACACACACGCTTCCCCACAAATACACCTCTATCAGCAAGCACAACTGTCGCCCCACATCTCTTCTCCCATTATGTAGCTATCCTCCCTCCATTCATCCAGCAAGCATTTCTGAAGTCCTGCTGTAGGGAAGACCCTGGGAACCAAGATAAGCCCTCCCTAGTTTTTGCGCTCAAGGGGCTCCCAGTCAGATAGTGGATAAGTTAAGCACAGAATTGTACCAGAGGGCAGGATGTGGTAAAAGCCAAGAGGTGTGTGCTCAGGGGAGGATCCCTTTAGGTTAGGGAAGGAGGACCAAAATGTCTCCATGAAAAATGTTCTTAGAAGTTAGGATTTTAAAAAAATGAAGGTAATATAAAAAATAACAGTGATCTATCTTTTTATTAACTATATGTCCATTGCTTTGTATACATAATTTCATTTAATCCTTACAACAACCCTGCAAGGTAGGTATCATTCGTTCCATTTTTACAGATTATAAAACTGAGGTTCAAAGACGTTAAACACTTGTTCAAGGTACTTTTCCAAAGTCACACACTTAAGTTGTGAAGCCACGATCGGAACCCAGGTCTCTCTGACTCCAGAGCCCCAGCTCTCCACTCTACCAGCTGCAGATGAGTCAGGGGTAGCATTCCAGGCAGAGAGAAGAGCATAAGCAAAGGTGAAGTAGCAGGAAATCACCTAGGAGCATTCGGGGAAGTGAGTAGACAGGCTGGCTGAAGCACAGGGTACCTGCAAGGGAGCAGTGATGGGCAAGTCAGGGTTAGATGAAAAGGCCAGGGAGGACTACAGAAACGTATGAGGGATCTGACCTACTGGAGGGTAACAGGAGGCTAAGGGAGGCTGTGAGCAGAGGAGGAAAATACCAGAACTGGACTTTAGAAAAATAACTCTGGCAGATACCTTGGAGATTAGAAAGACAGTGCATTTGCACAAGTGAGAGGTAATGAAGCCAGAGATAGAACAGTGGAGAGAAGGATGTCACTCATTAGGAAATTTAAGAGGTAGAACAGATAGGACCTGATGACAGTATGTTCTGTCAACCATCAGGAACCAGAACCCAAAGTCAGGCTGGGTTTCCCAGAACCCAAAGGGCCTGGATTCTTGTCATTAACAGCCACCCTGTAGCTGGGGAAGCTTGAGTTTAGGCAAGAAACTGGGAAGAGGGAAAGGGAGGATCAGGCTGAGCTGGGAATGTGAAGATGAGGCTGTGGTCAGGGGATGTGGTTGGCCTTTGGGGAAAAGGGGACGGGATGTTGTTAGGACTAGGTAGGGGCAGAAGGTTAGTGCACTGTGCCAGAGGGGTACTAGACTTATTGGTGTGATCACTTTGTAAGGTATATAAATGCCTAAACACCCTGTTGCACACCTGAAATTACTGTATGCCAACTGTAATTTTTAGAAAAATCAAAAGCATGTACATACCTTCCCTTAAAATTAAAAAAAGAAGAAAAAACGGGGATGGGGTTAGTGACTGTATCGGGCTGGAAATGGGGAAGACAAGGTTATAGAGGAAGGCTGGGGAAGATGGTAGTAGATAATCAGTCACCGGGTCAGGCTGGGAGAAGGGGAAGAATAATTATGTGGACAGTGGCTAAATCAGGGAATGATGAAGTGAGGTCACAGGCTAGGTCAGGCTACAGAAGGCTGAGAAGAGATGGGGCTGTGGTCAGTGGCTAAATTAGGCTGGGATGGAGGAAGAGTGAAGGGACACTGGATGTGTCCAAGACTCTAAGTAAAGCTGGAGTGGTGGAGGGGGATGGGCTGCAGCCAGTGGCTGGGTCAGACTGCGTAAGGGACAGTGCTATGGTCAGTGGCAGGGTCATGCTGGGAGTGACTTGGGGGTGTGGTCAGTGGCCTGGCTGGGCGTGGGATCTGCAAGACCCAGTTTCCTCTTTGGGTCTCATTTCCTCTTTTCTGTTTGGGGAGTGGGGGAAGGGGATCTACAACTAGACCAAGAAATTAAGGAGGCTTAGAATCAGGGGGTGGCACAGAGCACGGACTAGTTCTGTTGGGCTGGCTGTAGGGTATTCAGCAGAGGACGACGAAGTATGCAGATGAATGAGTGAGTGAAAATGGTGGGAGGGTGCTATGAAATGATGGGAAAGCTCAGATTTGCTGTCAACTTCTTCAATTTTACTTGCCTCAGGCCATCTACCCTGACCTCAACCACCACCTCTAGAACTGACCCTAACTCCTAACATTAACCTTGACCCTAATTTGTTTCCTGTTTCCCCACCCAGGCTTTGACATTCATCCCTTTCCTGACCCATCCCTCCACTATTTAGTCCTAAAACTGACCATGCCATGGTTCTCTAATCCCTAAAAACTAAATTCCTAACCAGTTCCTGTTGTTGACCCTGAACGCTGACTTACGGTTGGCCATCCTAGAACACAAAATAGTGACCTTAATCCAAACTTTGCACACATCAAACCGACCTGACACACTAGTAACTCTAAATGTTTAACCCGGGCTCTCTAACTTCTAAAGCTAACCTTGATTCCCCAACCCAATTCCACCCCATCCCAGGCTCACCCAAAGCTTTCCTACCCACATACCGGCTATCAGCAAACCTCAAAGCCGATCCCCGCCCTGCACCTCACTGTCACCCCACTCTCCGCCCTCCCCAAACTCATCTGAGTCAGAGGATCGCTCCCAGAATGGCTGCCCAAAAGGATCTACTTTAAATTCCGAGCCCAAGCCAAAACAGACTGGACGCTGACCTCTCCAACAAGCCCCGAAACAGCAGGCGCAGGAATCAGGGGCCCCGCCCGCGAGCCTCCCGCGCCTGGCCTCGCGGCCCCACCCAAAGGCTCCCGCTCGGCCCGGTCGGACGTACCTGCGCTGCCTGGCTTATGCCCCGCCCGCCGGCCCGCTAGCCGGCTCGTTCTCCCGGTGGCTCCCGAGATCCGGCCTCGCCCTCCCTTCGGCACTCTCTGAGCCACTTCCGTCCCCGGAACGTCCCCCACCCGTGGGCGGCGCCCTGGGCCCGCGCTCTATGGTTGCGGGGACTGCAGGAAGCTGCTCTGGCCCAGCTCTCGGTGCTCAGGGTCCCACCGAAGACAGCCACCTCTCCCGGCAGGAAGCGAGGGTGCGGCGCAACCCGGGGGAAAAACGCTCTGACTGCGCTCGAGTTCCCCTTTAGTCTCTGATCCTCCGTTTCCTTAGCCTGGGGCGCAAGGCGGAGCCGGGGGCGCAGAATGCCCGCCCTCAGGGTGTGAGGAGGCGGTAGGGACGTCCCCTCTATTTGCATAGCTCCCGGGACGTGGCGCCGCACGTAGGCCACTTCCGCGTTCCCGGGAACTCCAACTCCCAGAATGCCTCGGGGGGCCGCGTCACTTCCGCTGTGTTGGAAGCTGAGGAAAATCGAGACTGGGAGGCGGAAAGCCGGCTGAAGAGGGAGTAGCGGATAGGTGGGGCCGGCCGACCGTCGGTGGGTATTGTGCCTGGGATTCAGGGTTGGGGCCAGGTGGAGGGCTGAACTCCTGTGTTTATGTCCATTTTTTTCCCGGTAGATTTCCCATATGGAGCTGGCCTTGGACCCGGGTGAACAGGACCTGCTGGGCTTCCTGCTAGAGGAAAGCGGAGATTTGGGGGCGGCGCCCGATGAGATCTTGGAGGCTCCGCTGGACTGGGAGTTGCCGCTTTCTGAGGTGTGTGTGTGGGGCGGGGGCGCTCTGAGGCCGGTCGGCGCGGGCCGGGGTGTTCGTGGGGCATGGGTGGTGATAGGCCGAGGACTGTTCATTTGAAGCCCGTGCAGGCACTGAGCGATTGGGACGTCGAGGATTTCCTGCGCTCCCTGCCGAGCCCCCCAGCGTCGTTGAACATTTTCAGCAACTCCAATCCCTGTCTTGTCCACCATGACCACACTTACTCTCTCTCCCAAGAACATGTTTCCATAGACCTAGGTGAGCATGAAATAGTGAAGTTTGGGGGGAAGGAGCGGATTCATGGGCCTGGCTGTTCACTTTCCCTTTTGCAGATAGTGGGAGCTGTGGAAAAGGGGGGGTCCAGATGACTCCCCTGCACGTGGAGGACCCGGCAGAGCAGGTACTGGACTTGGTTTACAGGAGGATTATTCCCACGTTGCAGAGGTGGGGCCGGACCCCTCACTCCTCTCTGACGTCCCCTTGCTCCCCTGCTGCCCGCCTTTCCTAACCCCAGGAGGTCGTTGGGCTGACACTGACAGATGAGGAGAAGAGGCTATTGGAGCAGGAGGGCCTTACTCTGCCCGGAACGCTGCCTCTCACTAAGGTAGGGGCTCGGTAAAGGCTGGCGGGGGATTGTGAGTCCCAAGTAGGCCAGTTCTGTTAATTTTATCAGTAACTTGAAAAAGGACTGAGGTGAGAAATTTAGCAAATTTGCTGTTAATCGGAAACTGGGGGATGTAGTTAGTATGCTAGCTGCAGGGGGAGATCCTGGTTTTGTGGGGCTTACACAAATTTGCATGTTCTCTTTAAGAAAGAATTCAAAAGTATTAGTGCGTTAGTAGTATAGGGACTTGGAAAGGACTGCAAACAAGGGGTCCTGACAGGTAGACTTCACTGGCTTCATGGTAATCCATCTATAGCTGAAAGGTAGAGTTAAGTTGTTAGGCTGGATTAAGTAGTATAGCAAGAATGAGTGGCAGCTTCACAAGCATGATATACTATGATGAAATCATGATTTACTGGCAAAGATTAAGAAATTTTAATTTCTTCAAAGCATGAATCAGCATTGTGATATGGCTACTAAGAAGGTGAATGGGGTTTGGAGGCTGTATTAAGAGGTATTGCCTCTAGAAGGGCAGTTCCTGTCTTGTTCTTCATTACACTGGCTAGACCACATCTTACTGTCCAGTTTTGAGCCCAGATATTAAAAGGATGTGGTCCATTCTGAGGAGATAAATGAGGTAAATTTTTGCCCAGATTAACTTAGGAAATGTTGAGTGCCTTAAAATAGCTAAGGACCATTTAATTGTTCTATATGGCCCAGAGAGTAGGTATTAGGTAAGTGCAATGGGTGGAAGGCAGGAGTTGGCTCAGAATAAGGAAGGTTTTTAATCAATAAAATTGTTAAAAATGGTCTGGCTTGTGAGGGTGTTAACAGTGGGTCCTCGGAGGCATTCAGTCAGAACCGGAGTGCCTATTGGTAAGGGAAGCTGTAGAAGGGATTCCTGCATCGGGAAGATGACTGAACTCAGTTACCTTCCAACTCTGGTCTGAGACCCCCTTTCCTTGTATTCATTCTCTCAGATGGAGGAACAAGTTCTGAAACGAGTGCGGAGGAAGATTCGAAATAAAAAGTCTGCTCAGGAGAGCCGCAGGAAGAAGAAGGTGTATGTGGGGGGTTTAGAGAACAGGTATAACGGGAGAGGGACTCTGGGGTGGGGGAAACAGAAGTAGTTGGAAGTGGGAGGTTTTTGAAGAGAGGAGCCAGGCCATATCCCCACATCCCTGTTATTCCCTCAGGGTCTTGAAATACACAGCCCAGAATCTGGAGCTACAGAACAAAGTACAGCTCCTGGAGGAACAGAACCTGTAAGCACCTCTCTGTAACATCACTCCTCTCCTGCTGTCTCACTTTTTTCCTGCTCCACACTTGATTTCCAACAGGGCAGCTCCCACATGCAAGGTCTGATTCTTTGCCCTTATTTGGTTTCCGATTCTAAGCTCACAGTAATGGGGAATAAATTCACACATAACAAAGGATAAGTATCAAGAAAGACAAGAAAGCCCAGCTGGAGTGGCTCAGTGGTTGAGTTTTGACCTATGAACCAGGTCACAGTTCAGTTCCTGTTCAGGGCACATACCCAGGTTGTGGGTTCGACCCCCAGTGTAGGGCGTGCAGGAGGCAGCCAGTCAATGATTCTCTCTCATCATGGATGTTTCTCTCTCCCTCTCTAAAATCAATAAAAAAATATTTTTAAAAAAGAGTAAGAAAGACCTCATGGGGCAGATGACATTTAATAATAGATAGGACTCTAGGAGTTGGGGTGGGGGTATAGGAGAGGAGCGTTGTAGGGAGAGAACACAGCGTAATTCAGTTTGGCTGGAACCCTAACATAGGTGAGTTGGGCCAGAGGTAGAGAATCTAGACTGCTGGTGAGGGTTATGTATGTAGGTAATTAGGCAGTGTAGAACCACTATTTGCAAAGGAGTTTAAGTCAGGGCAGGGCAGAGGTGTGTATTTGTTTTAATGAGGAACTTTAGGCATTTTGTCCACAGAGAGGAGGAAGTCATTTGTAAAAATAGGACATAAAGAGAATTACTCTGTTTCTAGGTCTTCTGTGTACAGGAGGGATACATGTTATTAAATTTAAATTTTTAGAGGCTCTAGTGCAGGGGTCCTCAAAAATGGCCCGCAGGCCACATGCAAATACAAATATTGTATTTCTTCCCGTTTTGTTTACTTCAAAATGAGATATGTGCAGTGTGCATAGGAATTTGTTCATAGTTTTTTTTTTAAACTATAGTCCGGCCCTCCAACGGTCTGAGGGACAGTGAACTGGCCCCCTGTTTAAAAAGTTTGAGGACCCCTGCTCTAGTGCACAGATGGTGGGGTGGCCTTAACAGAAAGGTTTCATTGCATCTCAGGGAGCCAGGAGAGGGCTGCTCACTGTCCCCTCTCCTTCTAGGTCCCTCCTGGATCAGTTGAGGAAACTCCGGGCCATGGTGATTGAGATATCTAACAAAACCAGCAGCAGCAGCAGCACCTGCATCCTGGTAAGGATGGTGATGGAAGGAGAGATCCTTCTTCCAGGTGCAGGGATGGGTGCAATCCAGAGCTCTTCATCTTTGCTTTTCTTGTGTTCCAGGTCCTACTGTTCTTCTGTCTCGCCCTTGTACCTGCTATGTACTCCTCTGGCACCAGGGGGAGCCTGCCAGCTGAGAATGGAGGTGAGGGGCTTGAGGATAGTATTATGGGTGAACTAGTGGGAGAAGCCTGGCCTGCTTCTAAAGAGTGTTTTTCTTCTCAGTATTATCCCGCCAGCTTCGTGCCCTCCCTCATCAGCTGGAGCGGTCTGTCCTGCAGTCGGAGGAACGAAAGGATAGCTCAGACCATGAGCTCCAGGCTCCTGGCAACTCTTGCTGCCTGCCCTCCCACATGCCTCAGGCTCCTGGCACAGAGCCTCCCCTGAAGTTGCCACTCCCTGATCCCTTTTCCAAGTTCGCCTGCCTGGGTCCCATCGTTCCCCTGCATGCAAATCTCACAAGAGAAGGGGAATGGCTCCCTGCCCACAGCCCCATATCTGTTATCTTGCAGGGCAGATACTCAGGCTAGATGGGAGGCCAAATGAGAAGGAATACGAGAAGGCTAGTTTTAGCATCTGTGCCCTGTCAGGATGCCTTAGGGCTCAAACACACCACACTTACCATCTTTCTGGGTCTTTTATTTTACCCATGTATGTCTATCACCCCATGAATGGACCTGGGGGAATCAATTGACCTTGAACATTTCATGCAGTGAGGGGATGGGATGAGGAAATAAATAAGTGATTCTGATGCCTGGGTTACCCTCGACCCCTTACTGGTGTGAGTTGGTGGGGAGAAGGGGAGGGAGCATGATTGTCCTAGTGGCTCAGGGTTGCAGAAGACGGGGGATAGGGAGCAAATGCCATGTGGGATTTATGTTAGTGCCTCCCTCCCATAGTTCAGGGGGCTCACTCTGGACTTGGGTTTGCCATGACCTCCTTTGGTCCGAGTTTAGACCCTGTGCCTAGTCCTGTGCCCTGGATGTTTGGAGCTCAGCCTTTTTATGCTGCTGCTGCAGGGCCAGCTGCATGGCCCAGATGCTCAGTGGCCGCATGTAGGCCAGAGAGCGGAACACTCGCTTTTGGCAGTATGCCTCTGGGGTCTGGAAGCCCAGGCCCAGGCGCTCCCACACAGTACGGTAGCAGCCTTCAGCTGTCTGGAAGCCCTCCCAAGTCAGGCCCTGTAGGGAGAGATGGCAGTCACATTAGTTGGCACCCCCTGAATAGTCTCTTTAACTGGACAGATGGGGGCAATAGGGTCTTTGCCCTCAGGCAGTTCCCAGCTAATGGGGGAGATAAATTTAACCCACAGGCAGATGACTGAAGGCAGGAGATGGAATGCATGCCAGGGGAAAGGGATGCTTTCTAGGTGAATAAGATGGCATGGGTTAGGCAGTACAAATAACTGAGGGCTGAGGAAGTGCTGGGCCATGAGACAGACGGGGGAGAGATGGGGAAGGCAGTGCATTACCTCCTGGATCATGGTGGCTGCCAGCCCATAGACCACGCCCACCCAGACTTCATCAGACTGGACACTGGATCTATCAGGGACACCCTGGGGCTGCATCCCGTTCACAGCCCCCATGGTCCCTCCTGCAAAGGCCTGGACATTGAATTCAAAGATAGTTTGGAGAGCACGAACCACGTGTTGGGTAGGAAATACCTAGAAGGGCAAAGGCAGAAACAGTCTCTTAAACTTGCTTCTTCTAAGAAAAACCCACCTGGTTCCTCCTCCTAGTCTCTCTCACCTCAGTTTCTCCTTCTCCTAGGCCACTAGCCCTCAGGAACCACTGGCCAGCACACTGGTCAGACATGATGCTACAGGACTGAGGCCGAGAGCTGCAATCATAGTTGTAATAGCGGCCTGGAGTGGAGGAAGGGCAAAAGTAAGTCTCTTTGTGTTCCCACAGCTGCCTTAAGACTCCTTAGGAATCCCCCAACTCACCATTCCATAGCAGTCTCTCATAGGCTTGCTGGCCCCGGCTGAGGATGGAAGAAAACTTCTCTTGAATGTCCTGTGTCCCACACAGAGCAGCCATCTGGACCATCACAGCCACAGCTGCCAGCCACAGTCCCCCACAATAAGCACTGAGCAGGAAAATGGGTTTAGGGGTCAGACTTGGCAGCGCCAGCCATTCCCATGCTACATAACAGGCAATGAGTCACCCTTCCTTGAGCCCACAGTCCCTTGTGCTTAGTTGCCATCTCAGGCCCCCTGTAAATCCCTGTCCCCCAACCTGGGGCCTGTGGTGACCCAAGCGTCATAGGTCTGGTCTGCATAGCCTCCATTTTCAATGAGTCCATCTTGGTCCTTGTCAAACTTCATTTCAGACTCCATCACGGCCTAGAGAGGGACCAAGAGAGTGCAGACCTAGATACTAAGGAAAGACAGCCAGCTATCTCTCCCCAAACACCAGTCATGCCCCTGTACATGCGTCCCTTACCAGACACACCGGCCACATGTCCCTCAGGAAGCCCTGGTCCCCTGTCAGGTAATAGTCCCGATAAACCTGCAGCACAAACTTCAAATTCAGGTCTTTCCAGTCAGCAGTATCATGGATCACATACGCATTGACCCGGAGCCATGGCTCGTCATCTGCAGGAGGGAAGGGAACCTGGTTTATCTGCGTTGGCGTTAGGGTAGAGGGCGGGAAGCTGACCTTGAGGTGGAAGGACTTTTACCTGGGTCCCCAATATCATGGGGGATGACATTCCTCCTTTTCACAGGTGCCATTACCCCACTCATCAGGTACCGTCGCCATGTCAGGTCTTCCCCAAGTGTGGCCAGAGCTGGGGGAGCAAGCATACAAGTTGGGGGGGGGTGGGGGGAGAATGGGCAGTCTTGGGGTGGTGTAGAGCTGTGTGTGACCCCAGAAGGAAACCAGTAAATAGGGTATAGGTTATAATGGGGGAAAAAGACAATGTGAGGGACCACAAAGGTTCAGGGGTCGGGAGAAGCTACGGGGGCAGAAGAGGCACAAAAGAGACCCTCACCCATGTCATACTGCAGGCTGAGCTCGAGTTTGGGCCATAGCATGATGAGGGCGAAGGAAGCGTAGAAGTGGACGTCATATGTGTTGTACATGCGATATTCCTGGCCTGGAGGAAGGAGGGATACACACTGTTGCCAGAATTCCTCTTCGTAGTCCCCTCCCTACCTAGCTTGTCCTCTGGAGTTGGGGATGGGGCACTGTCACACTCTATACCTGCCAGTTACCCCTCATCCCAACCAATGACCTGAGCAGGCAACACTCACCGTCCTGCCTGGTGGTAGGGCACTAACTGGCCTCACAGATACGGCCTGCCATACTATGGCCACCAGCAGCCCGTACCTTCAAGGTAGCCAAATCGACCATACTCCGTGAGGAGGGGGCGGAGCTGACACATGTTCCCTCCCAGCTCCTCTGGTAGGGAGTCCTCAGGAACTTCCAGCCATACTGTGCCTCCATCAGCCAGGAAGTAGAGCTCATTGAAGAGTGCAGATTTGTACCAGGCAGGCAGGGACCTGGGGAGTCAGGAGGGAGCGGTCTAGTAAGTGTGGACCCCCCAGGAAAGGAAGGACTCTGGGGTTCAGTTGAGTAGGGGCACCAAGTGAATCCCAGCTCTACTCTGCTGACTTTGGTGGGTGGAGAGTGAGTTAAGGAGCCCTAATTGGAGCGTGAGTGCCTGGGAGGAGGAAGAGATGGCCCCATTGACACCTGTCATCCAATACTGGGCTCTGCCAAGCTGAGATCCTCTCTTCCCAGTCTGCGTATCGGCACAGTGCATAGTGACTAAGGGCGGGTGCTGCATCACCATCTGAGCCAAAGAACCTTGTGTATCGCCTGGGGTAAGAAGAAAGGGAAGGGGTAAGAACATGGGCTCCAGGTCACATCCTACCACCTTGGATCCCTATTCTCTGTCCCCTCACCTGTAGTAGACCTGGCCCTGAGCTCCAAACATGATTCTGGGCATGTCCCAGGCCAGTGAGAACTCCATTCGGCACCGGCCTCGAGGTGGCAGCTTACTCGTAACACACACAGCCCCAGCGATGCCTACCCCTTTCTGCGAGAGGGTGCTTCGACCTGAGAGAAGCACAGAGGAATCAGCACAGACACCTCCTTCATCCCCAAGGATCCCTAAGACGGGAGCAAGGCCAATTCATTCCCAGGCCTCCCACCCTGCTCTCAAGACAGGGACAATCTCTTTTCCCACCACCTCCCTGTTAGACCCCCCCATCACCAGCGGGGGAGTCCAGCTGTCCATCCTGAAGTAGATCCTGCCACACCTGCTGCCCAGTGCCGTCAGGGTCAAAAGCTGTGATGTGGGTTACCGTCGTGTCTGCCTGTTAAAGGGCCAAAAGCTGTGAAGGGAAGCTCCAAAGAATGCTGGCTTCCAAACTGCTCTAGCTCCTGTTACATATTCCCACCTCCTCCAAGTTCCACAGGCTTATGGGCTGTGGTGAGAGTGGGACTCAGGACTTTAGGAAATGAAGAGACCATGGTGGGATGGGGTGGGCTCTGGGGCTGGTTGGGAGGAGGGGTTGCAGGTTA